GAAACAAGCCTGAATCATTTGACTATCTGAAATTCTCCTATATAACTATTTACTTTAAGATTCTCCTTAGGAATCAAGGCCACTGGAAGAATTAAGGTCACTTTGACATGAAAACAGTACAAGAAACAGACGAAAGTGAACTGTAAAAACGAACTCATCTGCTTCACCTACTGCGGGAAGATTAATACAAAAAGTTTACTTTCCTCAATCTCAACCAACCACTTATGTGCCTTGGATATTGTCACAGTCTAGCTCTAAAAGAGTTCTTGTGTTGATTGTGTTTAAACAATTAGCCATGAATATTACATAGCAAGAATAATATTGTAACTTGTTAAAGTTTTGACAAGTCTGTGAAAAATAGTAAGAGAATAACATATTATTAGGATAAGTAGCATATTGTTATAATAAAAAAAACTATTTGTCAATAATAAGTATTGTAAGAAAACTTCGGTTAATTAATGTTAATATTGCATCACTTAGTAACTGAAATCAGCTGTTCAACAATGAAATGTATTTGTAAATATAATCTAAAACTTAACTTCTGTTTTATGAGACTGGTTTAAAAGCGACGACCTTTTTAAAGCGTTAAAACTGGTAAGCTCTCTCATAGGCCTACGATAAAATCTCCAAATAATATCAAATCGTACGGACAACATCAGAACAAACTCGTCTAGGTCTAAATAGTTCTAGTGTTGATGGTGTATCAACAATAAGCCATTAATATTACACTGCAGGAAGAAAAATATTGTAAGTGTACAAGTTTAAAACAAGTCTGTGATAAATAGTAAGACAAGAGAATAACATATCATCAAGATAAATAACATTATTTTTTACAAATTTGCTTACATACGTAGTTGCTAAACTAAGTCAATATGTAAATTGTTTTATGTTTATCGTGCAAAAAAACACTAAAAATAACTAAATGAAATTTATTGGTAGATTTTAGCGAATTTCCCTATAGGGAAGTAGCTATTACCGTAGGTGGCACGGTAAGACCTAGACCCGGGACCGATTTACTTTTTCATTTTGATGTCCCCAGAGGCCAAAAACACCATTCGTTCAAATTTTTATATATGTATATATATATATATATATATATATATATATATATAGACTTATATATATATATATATATATATATATACGTCCGTGAACGCGATAACTTGAGTAATTTTTGTCCGATTTTGATGAAATTTGGTTTAAAGGTGTAAAGCGGGATAAACTTGAATGAGTTCGCGAACCAGCACGATCGGACCATGGGAACGGGGCTTTACGGGGGGTTTTATGGAGTAAAAATTGGTTTTTCTCACTTTTGACCCTCAAAACACAAAATTTCCCGATTTCTCTTTAAACCTTTTTAAAGAGCTTAAAAAAACAAATAATTTAGTATATAAAAGTATTTTTGTTCGATTATTAGTAACAGAGAAAATTAAAAAAATTGTAAATTTAAAATTCCCATGTTATTCTTATGGAGAATATTGTCAAATGTTGTAGTTTGCTTGTTTATGGATATATTTTGATCAAACTTGGCAAATTTATTTATTTTGTACTAAGCTATCAATATTTTACTCAAAAACACACTTTATTAGTTTCCTTGTAGCAGCAAACCTAGGTACTCGTTAAATCAAATGTTATTAAAATATATTTAACTGAAAATCAATTCAGACAAATGGAAATTCGCTTAGTCGGCAGGTTTGCTGCGGCGGGGGTATTTAAATCTTCCTTGATGTGTTTGTAAAAAAACTACAATTAATTGTGTTCCTGTAGATGTTTGATTTTTAACCGTTTGGGGGTTATTAGGAATGTCGTTTTTTAAACAGCTGATTCTTTTAAAACTTGTTCAGCTGAAAAAAACAGTGTTATATTTTCTATATAGGAACTATAGAACATGTGATAAGCATCTACATGTTCCTCTATGTAAAAAACATGTCCACAATAACCGGGTTTTAACCAAATTAATTGTACCTATTGATAACAATGAAAGCTTTTTCGTTTATTAGGGTTGATTTGGTTACTGTCCAGTTAATTAAAACCTTACCATTATTTTTAACTACTAGAAAATTTATGATTTCAAATTTGAAAATAATATATCAATCCGAGAAAACATGGCTCAAAAATAGGGTACAGTTTATTTTGTTTCCAAATTAAGAATGTTTAAATGAAACATTGGCTTAAAAATACATTAATTGATGTTTATTTATTTTTTGTAAAGTTAAAAGTAGTGTAAACCTGTATTATTCCTTGTTTGAAAAGTTTTTGTGTATAAAATGCTTTTTGCACATACAGTATTTATTTTTATAATCAACGAAACGTTAAAATTATTAGTATAACACATGTATTTACATAGTTCCAAAAGTTATTAAAACAATTTGAAAAATCAAACGTGTAAGTATGAGCAGACATAATCTAACAAATTAGAAGATTAAGAGGGTTCCAATATAGAAAAAAAGAATTAAATATAGACTGTCAGCCATGCTGCGGTTACCATGGTCACCATAGGTTCAGGCGCACACCGCTGGGAACACCGTGTGGTTACGTAGCGTACACCATAACTACACGGCGCCAAAGGTGTACGCCAGAACCTATGGTATCTGCAGCACGGCTGACGGTCTATATTTTAATTCTTTTTGTCTATGGTAGAACCCCACTTTTAACTATACCGCAATGAAAAGTGTACTATTTTAGTGTGTTTACAGTTGTGTTATTAATTGACGGTTTGATTTAACAAATTATTCTTCTTATTTGGAAAGGGGTTGACGTAAATAACAACCTAATACATTGACCTTGAGCCGATCAAATTGTTATCCTCAGCAAACATTCACTTGTCCCACGGTGCTAATCGTAAGGAAACTTCTAGACAAGGTGATGCAATAATCGTTGACACAGTAAAATTAGATTATCAACTAGTTTAAAATTTACTCGAAGACGAGCAGCATGAGCTTTTTTAACAATTTATTCTAGCCTAAATATTTGTAAAAATACCTAATGTAAGAATACTCGGGTTTATTATGTCAAGACTGTTGTGCCACTATGATATTTAATAGGCAGTGTTACTGAAATCAGCTGTTCAACAATGAAAGTATTAATAAATCTATTTATAAACGACGGGTTTTATGCGAGAACCTTTTTAGACATTTACATTGGTTACTAAGCTTTCATATACGATTAAAATAATGAAGTAAATGTAAATTAGAGATACAACATCAGTATTCGGAGCAAATTTGGCAAAACTGTACATTTTAAATTCTCATGGATTATCATTATGGGGAAAAAAACTGCTGTAGTTTGCTTGTTTATGGTTATATATTTGAATAAACTTTGGTGAATTTATTTATTTCAGACTATTTTTTTACCTAAAAAAACACCCTTCCTTTATCTGTAGCAGCAAACCTAGGTAATTATGAAATCTAAGGTTGTTTGGATAGGGAATAGATCACACATGTTTAAGGAAATATTTAAGTAAAATCCAATGAGACAAATTCTTTTAATCTCCAGGTTTGCTGCGGCGGGGAGATTTCAACCTCATAAACTCCAACCGCATTTCATACAGAATCTCCCAGCGAGGCATACCATCTTAGCCCTAATCTCAGACTGTGGGTAGCGAACAAATGATGTATTAAATACACTTTTGACTGTTGGCTTTTTGTCTGGAGAAAGTGCCTGCTCTCTCTGGATAGTAGGCCGACCATTGTATCATCTTCACGCTCCGCACTTCAATTCGCTCAGTCAACACGTACATCATTTTCGTTTCGGACGTCTCCCAACTGCAGACCGATTTCACTAATTCCCACTATTTCGAAAGATTCCGGCTCTCATGGGCCGTTCTGTTCACAAAGTGTGCTTCCTGAAAAATTCATACTGTCTGTATGATGGAACCTGTCTCCTCAACTTCATCAAAGAGACAAGCTGCATCATGCAGGCTATAACACAAAATGAATAACGTTTTTAAGTTGTTAACTTGTATCGTAGTATTTGAATATCAGGGCAAGTGGTTAAAGTTCTCTCCTGGTATTTAAAAGAGTTGCCGGTTCTATCCTGAAAATAGACAAAAACATAATGATTCGAAACTGGACACAACTGTCCTGTGGTTCTCCTTGACTATTGGGCTTTTAATAAATTACTACAATAAACTAGCTGAAAAACAGCTGATCTTAGAAAGAATCAACTCATTGATCATAATCACTCATCAATAATGTACAGTAGTTCAAACAAATTTGACTGCTTTTGTAAACTTAGGCTACAGTTGAATAAAATCTCAAGGGATGAAATTGTTGATTTAACTGAGGGGGAAACGTCCAAATATAATAAGATTTAAATGTACAATGTTTTCTCAAATTATAATGGTTAATTTTTAACTCGTTTTAGTATACTTTTAATTGACTTTTTTGGCTATGTATTACCTCCACCAGTATCATAAATTATGTCAAAATTTCAATGATATACAGCTGATATATTTCTTTGCAATTTCAACACGTCAAAACATCAAAATTTAACACCAAACAGTGCGACAAAATGAATATAACTTTTTATTGTTCCAAGTTGTTTGTTAAGCCGAATAATTAATATGTATGTGAAATTATGTTAATTGTAGACGTGCATGAATGAAAAGTAATATTTTAGCACCATTTGTGACCTTAAAACTAAACTACTGTAATACAAAAAATATTTAAAAAATCAAGTTTTAAAAATCCATGGGTAATTTATTTTATTGTGAAATCGTTTTAGTTACGTACAAATATGGGAAAACGCTCCAATTAAAATCTTTATACATGAATCTGTCTACAGTAGTAAATAAGCACCGCTGGTGAAGAGTAATTTAAAATAGATTTGGTATACAAACGATTTTCGACGATTGACATTTTATTCCAACACGCTTGATGGTTTCACAGGTTTTCACTGAACTTCCCCCGATGTAGGCTATCATTGTTGCCAACCTCTAAAACATATTTACGTTGTCGTGTTGGTAGCCCTGTGTTGTGGGTCGGTTTGGGGGTGGGACTGCGTCACACTAGGGTTGCTACCCTACGTCATCACTGCCATAGTTAGTACAAAATAGTTTAGTAATCGCTGTATTTCACAAACTATGTGACATTGTGTTCTTCCACATTCCACAGGTAAGCATTGATCACGTTTTGTAAAAAAATTTTAAAAGTTTGCTTTAAAATATCACATCAAAAAATTTTTACTTCTACTGTTATAGGTTAATCCACCCTTTGCTGAGAAAATATTTTCCCCGTTGCAGCAACCCTAGGAAAGTTGATTTATAGTTTATTTATTGAATTTGCGTTCAAACAGGTTTTTGTATAGTGTAAATACTAGGAAATATATTGTATCAACACTTAACATAACAATGAAACTAGAGTACCCAGGTTTGCTGCTAGAAGCAACAATTTTCTTCGAAAATACCATTCTGTGATGAAAATATACAATTTCAAATTTCAACATCTTTTAAAACCCAAAACCGACGGTATTTAATTTGTTTTCCATTTTAATAATGCTGTAGACAACGTACTGATTTGAGCACTTTTAATATCTTGTTAACCAATTCGTATGATGTCGTGTACTAAATTGTATGATTTTTTAATTTGATTTGTTCGACGAATGAAATATTTGAAAATTTAAAGTCTTTTGGGTAAAAATCCAAAACTATATTTAAACACTTTTGTGCATTTTATATCGCCCAAATATTTACCGAAGGAATAATTTATGAATTACAGCTTTGTTTTGATGGTCTTTTTTGTGTTAGATCTGAAAACTTTTTAATCTTAATTAGAATATAATTTTTAAAATTTAAATTTCATTTGTATTTAAGTGGTAAAACACCATAATAAGTTTCTGTGCAACCGTGTTCAGACTGTTTAGACTACTGCATTATGTATAAAATTGTATAGTATGAGTATCTTCTGCAAAATCGTGGAGGGATCACTTTTGCTCTAATCGGTATGGTTGTTAAATTCATTTCCACTATTAAAGCTATGCTGTTGCATGTGAAGGCATACGTTTTTTACTAAATTTGGGGTCAACTAAACTATCGTGAAAAATAAAGAATTAATTTTCGTTCCTATAAAGACCAATCAATAATTACTTAGTTCCACCCCAAATTATTGGACGTCTAGGACGCATAGCCTGTAAGAGCTTTAAGAACACGAATACACCTAAAACAAGTACAATTTCACCGCAATCAGTGCAATAGATTTTGTATTTATCATAAACAAAGGCAAAGTGAGAAAAAATATCTTCTTTTTGACCTAATAAATTCAATAAAGAAATTATATTTCAATCTGTGAATTCATCAAATACCGCCCTTATCGTGTTAAAAGCACATGATTGAGAAGGATAGTCATTTTAATTTTAAGGTCAAAATGGATGGGCTTTTGCAATCACTAATTTTTAAAGCTGTACCGAGTTTTGAAGTTTTGGGATGGAAGAAAACTCCCGTTTTCAAATAAAGTTATTATTTTTACTACAGTAACTGGTCTTTCCAACCCAATCTAACTGATATGTATTTTTCTATTTATTTATTTTGATTTATTAATACAATCAATTAAATCAATTATACACCTGAACAAAATTTCGAAAAAGTGACACGATAAATTAAACTAAACTTTAAAATTGAGATTCCAAACTAATGTAAAAGTTTCAGTTTAATCTTTTGTGTCAACACACTTGTATCAGGTTTCAAATTTTTTGGTACATTAAAAAGGGATCCAGTACACCAGATTGGTTAAGTAAAATTAGCTTGAAAACCCTTAAATTAGGTCAGATTCACCTGAAAACTGCATGAGTTTCCACACTTCCCGAAACGTTCGGTTTAAACCCAATCGGAAATATTCATTTTACATTAAAACACTTTGGTGGAAATGACTCCACCCGACTCTTGGTTATCCCCCAGTACAGTTTAGGGGAGGTAGAGGAGGGGGGGGACTAGGTCGCTGCTGGAATGATTTGATCACTTCCAGTCAGTCTTCCACCTCGTCGCACCGCGGTCCTTGGTCATCCCATGCCAGTGTCCTGCTAGGAGAGCCAAAGGTAAAACATACCAGAAGCATCTTGGAGTAATTTTAAATATATTGTATTTTATGATAAATACTACAATAATTTAAAAACTATTTCTTAAACTAAGTGTTTTGAAGGTTGGGAAATATTTAACATCCAATTAGATTAATTCTATTATGTTTATTAATAAGTTTTAGCACTGTTTACAATTTGTATAGTAATTTTGCGTATTTTTTGGTCTTTTTTTACCTAAGAAAGGCAATATCGTTTGACGTTCTGTCTGTCTGGAGTGATGTTATGTGGTGTTAAAAATACTACAACTACTTTTGAACTATTTTTTTACTATCTTTTGCATGTGTTCTACACCAGTGGAATTTTCTTAAAGTTTATTTTCGTACAAAAATTACAAATCCTGGTTTTGATACTTTTTGTTAGATTCTTTAATTGATGGTCAGCCCAATGACAAATATTTTATTATCAAGTATTTTTAGTGTAAGGTTTTACCTTTGAATATTAATACAACTTCAGTAATACTTAATAATAATACTTCAGTTCCAAATAGTCAATGGTTTTTACGAAGTTGTTTATTATCTGGAGAAATATTGTTTTACTAAAAATATTACGTAGTTAATGGCTATGTTTATTTAAAGCACATAATTTCACAGCTACGTTTTCAATACTGATAATTCAGTGTTTTAATAGTAGGGTTTTTAATAGATAAAATAAAATTGATAAAATGGAAGAATTACCTTATCCAACCTTAGTTGCTAGTATGACAACTAGTTTCGTTCCTTAGAAAATCGTCAGGTCATTGTATGCAACCACATCATCAGTGGTATGTCAAAAGATTCTTTAAAACACTGTCAGAATCACAATAGTAAAAACTAGTCATGTTGATCAAATTATTAAGTGAAAAAACTGGTTAAAACTGTAAGGGCTGGCCAGCACTCTCTTACCACTGTCACTGACAAAAAAAATCCTTTTAATAGTTTAAAGTCCTAAAGGGGTTAACTTTGAAACAATTTTGCTGTTTATTTCGAGCACATTACAACTAGGTTTTCAGTAAAAAAATATAGTTTTGTGTATTTTAAAATTGTTTCGAGTATATTTGAACTACACAAGATTGCGTTTTGTCAGATCGTCTTTCTGTTGTAATTTTATATTTATTCCATCTTGTATTTACACTACAGTTAGGTACTTAAAAATAATTTATTCCTATAGAATTTTCGATAGTACATCTAGGGCTGTCAAGAGTTTAAAACCCTGGTGGGATTAACCTTAACACAATAATTGTGGTGTTTATTTACCACATGTCACAGGTAGGTATTTAATTTTTATAAAATAAACGGTATTTTCATTTAAAATTTATAAATTATTTTATTTATTTTTGGCCTAAGAAATGTAAAATATTGTATTTTTTGTATAGTTTGTCTGTTTGGATTCATGTTATGTTAATTATACCGTGGGATAAATACTACAGTTACTTATAAACTATTATTGATAAATCAAATATTTTAATGGTAGGGTTTGGTAAGGCTTTTAGTATCAGGTGACATTAACCTTAAAATAATTGTGTTTATTTTTAGAAAGTTTTGGATTATTAGCATTTATAAATTGAATAATTCTTCAAATAAATGTTTATTATTTTTTTTTTACCTATGAATGACATGCTTGTTTATTTTTAGTATCAAATGTTCATCAGACTATCAGAAGCTACAAAAATGTGAGCTTTTAAATGACGGCAGTTAATTATTTTATATATCATACTGAATTTATTAATACAGGGTGATTGATATAAGTGTGCCAGCCGTTTTATTCGAAAACTATAAGAGATATCAAAAAAAGTTAAATGGTAAGTGCCTTGGATTTTTTATTTAAAAAACAACAAAAAATATTTTAGCCGCCATTTTTCCAATATGGCCACCAACTTTGATTTTTATTACGGAACACCCTGTATTTTAGGATGTATTCTGGTAGAAAAAGTAATTTTAAGACGATTTTATTCTTGTGATTTTTTTCATAAACCTAATCGTTTTAAAGATAATAATGGTTAAAGTTTTGAAATTTCTGCATGAGAAAGAGTTTCGATAAAGGCCTAAGCAAGCATGCCAGCTGTTTTGCTCGAAAACCATTCAAAATTTCACAACTTAAACCATTATTATCTTTGAAACGGTTAGGTTTATGAAAAAAATCACAAGAATAAAATCGTCTTAAAATTACTTTTTCTATCAGAATACATCATAAAATACAGGGTGTTACATAAGAAAAATCAAAGTTGGCGGCCATATTTGAAAAATGGCGGCTAAAATAATTTTTTGGACTTGACTATAATGTTTTTAATAAAAAATCCAAGGCACTTACCATTTAACTTTTTTTGATATATCTTATAGTTTTTTAATAAAACGGCTGGCACACTTATATCAATCACCCTGTATATCACCTTATTTTTCATAGTTATACATTCTGAACATAATAAAATCACACGATTTATACTATCGTGTTTAAAAATCTATAGTTTTTTAAATCTTATCAGCTATATTAAAGGAAATAATTTTTAGAACATAGTAATGCTTTTTTAACGAACCGGTTACATTATAACTACCTGTAAGGGAAAATACTATAAACACCGTACACGTTTTTTTCATAGAACTACTGCACAAAAAAAACTCTACAAACTAAATAATTGTCTACTCTTTTGAGAATTAAATATTTTTTAACAAATATAAATGTACAAAATAATCTGTAGGCATAGGATGTATAAAACTTTTATAAATACTACGTTTGTGTTAAATGTACGCGTTTTTTATTTATTTAAAAAGTAAAAATTTAGCAGAAATGTTTACAGAAGTTGGAATACTTTTAGTCCCGATTGCTATAAACACTACGGTAAAAGGCCTACCAATTTTCCTACAGACGAATTCGCTAAACTAGATGCAGTAGAAAATAAATTAACAACACGCAAAAAATCTATTTGAAGAAAAATGTTTTACAAATATTGACAATAGATCTAATTAAATGTATTGCATTTTAATTAATTGGTATTTAACATGCTAAAAGATCTATTTTTACAATAAGAGATTTTGAATGTTCATAAGAAAGGAGTACCTTTCCTTATTCTACATTCTAGTTGTAACAAGTAATTTTTCCAAAGTTTTTAGAACTGTATATGTAACTTAATAAACGCTTTTGATCAGCTAATTTAGTATTAAGTATTTGATGCATTTTTCTGACATGTTATATCTGAAATCCATAGAACAAGATTTTGAAACTAATTCTAAAATGGTTTATTGGTGGTCAAAACCGAACGTCTAGCATTTTCAATTTTTAGAACCGATTTCTCAGTAGTTTAGATGTAATCAGTTTAAATTTTTTCTATATTCAATACTACCTTCATAATAAATTTATAAAACATAAGATTTTAGACGCAAAAAATATTTTTTATATTATTAGATAGAAGTAGGGATTAAAAATAAGGGTTAGAAGACTATTATGGAGTAAACCACGTTTTTACAGGAGTCTATTTCAACAATCAAATAACGGTAGTTTATTTACAAACACGTGTAAATGCGGCTTTTTAGACAAAATATTTTGTTCTGGCCTTATACATGTTATATGTACATAGAGAAATTACATAGTATAATATGGAAACAGTATTATTTTGGTCAAAAAGTTCGAGTTTGAGTTTTTGGTGGAAACATCTGTTTTTGGGTATCCCTGACCCCAAAAAGGTTTTTGAAGTGATGTGTGTGTTTGAGGATGTGTTCATTGTCCGATTTTTACAAAATTTAGTATATGGTTACTTATTCGGTGTCTCTAGGGGTTTTTAAATATTTTTTAAAGTTCAGATTTCAATGGTGTTTTTTTTTCATAAAATAAAAGATTTTCACTAAAATGGTTGGAACGATGATGATCACAATTTAATATGTTATCCCAACGATGCAAAAATTGTTCTTTAAAAGTGTTTGCAATTTTGCGATTTTATCTATTAAATATCATAGTTACCACTTACCCATTATCAGGGTTGATGACAAGCTAATGGGAGAAAGTGTGCGTCAGTTTTCTGAAGCCGTTTATTTTGTACAGCCATTGAACAACGAGAACTTTACAGAGTTGTCTCTAAAATACAGTTAAATAAAATGTATCAAAAGAGAAAACAGGTGATTTTTGACATGGTATCCAAACTATTGTTTCACCAACCAGCTTAATGTTTTTGTAAGGTATCAAATGCCGTTTGAAAACAGCTGATTTACCATAGATAAACATGCGTTTACTGAACTCCACATTTGGTCTTACTACTACGTACATTTATTAAAAGTTTGATTTAGTTCACTTTATGATTTGATTTAAATTTTGATGTCAGTCGTAAAAATCTGAAAAACAAATGTGCTAAAACTAAAACTAAGTTTTAACTACCCTTGTTCCAAGATATGCTGTCAATTTATTTCATTGAAACATTCATAACAATATAGTCTATTTGTATCCTCAATAATTAATTACTACGTTACGTAATAAACTACGTTATTTCAATTGTTCCCGGTGCTAAGCAACCATAACAAACAATTCAAAACCAATGTGTTATTTCTTTGATAATTAGTTTTTTACTATGATACTAGCAGAGTACCCGTCCTTCGTACGGGGTTGGCATATAAGTATCAAATGCTTATAGCAGTTATGAGTGAGGACATGGTTTAAGAAATTTAGGTTCTTTTTGAAGTTTGTTCGCTGCGCTCACTCACCTTTAGGTTGGAGCTCGTTCGCTGCGCTCACTTTCCTTCAGGTTAGCTCGTTCGCTACACTCACTTGCCTTCAGGTTAGCTCGTTCACTACGCTCACTCGCCTCCAGGTTGAAGTTCGTTCGCTACGCTCACTCACCTTTTGCTGTTGTCATAAATGTAAAAGAAATAATAGTGCTAGTGCTGCACCCTGTTGGTAATCCTTGTAACTTTAATGCTATTGAACATCACAGAACAGAACCAACTTGTTTAATTGAAACAGCTGTTAAGATTCAATAATTTCATTTCTCATAAGGTTAACATGGGAAACTCCAGAGCCACTGGGGCGGAGCCCGAAAGGATTTTTGGGATAAAAATATGCCTATATGTTAATCGGGAATGTGAGCTATCATCATGCCAAATTTCAGCCCGATCCGACCAGTAGTTTTCGCGTTTACTTTTCCCATACACACACACAGACACCACCTCTTTTTTATAATAGTATAGATAGATTGTTTTACAATTTATTTCGATTTTTTTTTGTCTAATGTAAAGTTGTGTTAGGACAAAAAAAGAGAAAAGAAACTTTGTTGTATGTGGTTACACGGACGAAAAATTTCTGGAAACTCTTGATCAAACCCTTATTCATGAAGCTCTTGCTTCAAAATATAATAGACCTCTTATTTTTAGGATGAGATCCTATGTATTTTTTTATTTATGTGTGCTTTAAGGTGTTTATTTCTTGATATTTTTTCTCTCAACTCTTGTTTGTACACAAGTTTTCAAGCCTATAAAAACATCGTATCTACAGTGTTTTCTAAAAAAAATCAAAAAAATATTTTTAAATTAACGTACTGTACTAAGACGTAGACTAACCTTGATTCAAATAGCTAATTCGAGGTAAAATTCAAAGTAAACACATTACAGACAAATCAATAACTACTTAATCTGTTTGAAGTTCACTTATAGTGTCAACGCTTTCTAAAAACAACTGCAATAAATAATTGAGGTGAAGGGTGACAACCTTGAAGTATTCCAGGTTTAATTAAACATCTGTTTTGATTCAGATGTTACTGTCAAATCTACCAGGGTTAGATTGTTTGCCAAAAGATTACTACTTTCTCTACATTTCATACAAGATCGATTTGTATTTTGTTGGACAATTCTAATAACTCCTTGGAATTTTAAACATTAACTGTTGATTGAACGGAATCAAAAACAATATGTCATGTTAAAATTTAAAAAATAGTTTATTTATTTAAAATACAACATAAAAGAGAATCTCTGAAAATACTTTAAAGTTTTTTTTTAATAATGTAAGCTGTTTTTTTTTTTACGAATTCTTTATAAGGCTACTTGTATTGTAAATGCTAAATATTTTCCTGACAAAATAAGTCGGTTAACTTAATGATGACAAATTTTGAAATATGAACTTAGCTTTAATCAAATGTCTGCTGATTAGATTATTTTGTATTTTAGTAGGTGAATAATTATCGTAATATAATTTAAAAAAACTATTTCGTTCCTTAATTTAGGATGCAGTTTGCTGTAATTTTACAATAAAAACTTAAAACAAATACAGTTTAACTCAATATTAAGTCAGGGAGTATAAAAAACTTGTTATCAAGGATTACTCCTTATCGAGGTTTGCTATAACATAATTCGGGTGGTAAAAAATCTATTTTCTTCAACGCTTGTTAACATGGGAGAATAAGGGTGTCTTGTTATCAAGGGGCCTTATTGAGATTTCACTTTTTTAGCTAAATTATAAAATTAAATTCATAAAGGTGTTTTTTAATGGTTTGAAGAAAATATACGACATATCAATCTGATAATATTTATTTAAAATATTCAATTTCTTGTTTTCTTTCAGGAAAAATGGCCAATTTGCTCAATACCACATCGAGTTTCTTCTCCCAGCTGGCCGAGTACTACCACTATTACCTCTCAATTTCTGGTAATAACAAATTATTTATAGTACAAAATTGCTTAGTCAATGTTTTAAATCCACTCTATGATTAAGTCAAAACTCGGTATAAAGAAAACTTTATTTATTGAATTTGAAAATTTTTATATTGTGTAGAAAACGTAATTTTTCTAACAGAGAAGTAAGGTACAGAGGAAACATTCAATGCTGGTGTCGGGGAGAAATAGGAATCTCGCACAGTGTTTGCCGCTGATGCTCTTCCTTGCTCCCCGCAAGTAGATCTTAGTGAGTCGGTGGCTCAGTCGGTCTTCGGGCCCAAGGCAGCGATGTCGTGGGTTTGAATCCTGGTCACTGCCGAAAACATTTTATCAGTACAGATCACCTTTGTACTGTACCGGCTCACTCCTTGCTTTGCTGTATACGATCCATGCAGGGCAGTTAGTCTATGTGTAAGGGCAAATGCAAGGTTAAAAGAGGCCACCAACATCTTTAAAAAAAAAAGGAAAAAAAATATTTCCGGCACACTAGAGCTGAAAGCGCACTGTCATCCCATAAGCGAGTTTCCTCTCTACCTTACTTCCCTATGGCTACCTAGGTATGGATTGTATAATTTATCATTACTTTTATCTCTCTACAACTCTGTATCCGTTTCCGCAGACGAGCGTACCCGAGGATGGCTGATGGTAGACTCTCCAGTTCCCACACTCCTCTACACCTTTCTCTACCTAAGCATCGTCTGCGTCGGACCGAGACTGATGCGAGACCGCAAACCCTTCAAACTCAAGTGGATCCTCGTCCCGTACAACCTCAGCATGGCCATACTCAACATGTACATCGCTTTTGAGGTACGACGTTTCGTAGTGTAGTGAGGTTGCGGTAGGTCAAATCTTGAAGGGATATCTTAATGCAAAAAGATATGTAATATGTTCTAGCTTTGGCCATGCACATAACTATTTTATTCCCATAATTAATGCTTCCTGTGGTTTTATTACACCAGAATTTGGTACAGTATGTGGGTACTATTGGGTGGTAGGTGACTATTTTAATTTTTAAGGGTAGTTTTTCCCAATACAAACCCATAAAATAAAGTAATTTCCAGAAAAGGCACAAACAATTTTGTTTATAATTTTGTATGTTATTGTCTCCTTAACTCTAAACCAAGTACAGTCCTTAAATGCTGTAAAGTTATTAATTAAAAGTTATCTCATAATAGTCATAATTTGCAATTTTCCCCATAAGATATCATTGCTTGTCTCACCTCTTACTCTAAGGCGAAGCCAGGGCTAGGGCTCAATTTCATATAAAAAATTAAATGCCAATAAAGTACAACCTCAACCTGAACTATTGCACGTAAAATAAACAATATAATCACAACGATTCACATACACTATATTTCATAATATGTTTTTGTTGTGTTCAGCTGTTCATCGGCTCAACGAGACTAAAGTACAGCTACATCTGTCAACCAATCAGACAAGTCTCCCACAAGGAAGAGCTCAGGGTGAGTTTGCGATTCGAAACATCAGTTTTGAGGAAAATTAAATCAGAAAATACGAGGGGTGTAAGAGTCATTTGTACGTATAGGTCTGTAGTTTGCGTGTATGCCGAAACTAGGTTGCTTGTCGCTTACTGGCATCATTTGTGAACCTTTTGCGCCTCTGTAGCTGACGTATGCTACGCTGTGTGGAAAAATTTTAAATGATTGAATCTCCCGTTACATGCAAATTCAGTGATACTAGTTTCTTCCAAACTTTCCCCTCACTCTTCGCATTAGGGCCTTAAAGTCCTGTGGCGATGAATCTCTCCCCTCACTCTTCGCATTAGGGCCTTAAAGTCCTGTGGCGATGAATGTTGTATGCAATTTGGTTCTTGCAGTCAAAAAAGGTATCACTGAACTTTTCTCACATGCAACAGAAGATTCGATTGTTAAAAAAATTTTTAGACATACAGCAAAGCGTCCACATCAGCTACAGAGCTGCAAATGGTGTGCTTCTGTTCTCAAATTATGCCAGTATGCGGCGTCCTATCTCGTTGCGGTGTACATACCAACTACAGAGCTATATGCATGAACGTCCCTTACTCAAAAACATTATTTTCTGTAAATTTATCACCAGTTAGGATAGTTAAGTAGGAAGTTGACTAACTCCTCATTTTCAAATTGGTGAGACATAAATTTGTTGATATCCGTTCATTCACCACCACAATTTTCTTGATTTCCATTTAATCATTTTTTTAAATGTCAGTATTAGCAAAAAATATTATCAAAAAAACTCTCATATTTTTTATAAACCTTTAACTTTAACTTATAGTCAACATTATAGGTTATCTATAGACATAATTTTTGGAAACAATTCAATAAAAGAGTATATACAATCGGTAACTAAAGGCCAATACTCTTTACTTGTTCAGTGATTTCATGTATGCCATGGATATTTTAGTTCAAACAGAGATAGCCATGTTCAGCTACAGTCTGTATGATGGAACCTGTCTCCTGACCCTCCGTCTACCTACAGATGGTCTAAAACTCGGCCCAGTCCTAGGTAGACGAAGTGTCAGGAGGCAGGTTCCATCATACAGACTATAGTGTTCATTTTATTATTTGTCGTTTTCACCCACCTATTCGGTTACTAATGTAAACGGTACGTTACAGATAGCCAATGCAGTGTGGTGGTACTACTTCTCGAAGCTGTTGGAGTTTTCCGACACTTTCTTCTTCATCCTGAGAAAGAAAGACAAGCAGCTGACATTTTTACATGTCTACCACCATTCGACCATGTTCTCCCTGTGGTGGATTGGAATCAAGGTAAACGGATTTCGTATAAAGATTATGAATAGTATAATATTGTTTTGTTTTTGTACAGTTTACAAAAGGTTTGTAAAAAGACACAGTTAGGCTAACTATAGTTAGCTGAGTGGTCAAAGTGCTCATTTGCTCATCTATACTCCGTTCACAATACTTTGACGGTCTGAGGGGAAGTTCCCCCACTACTTTTTCTGCTAAATGAATGCTGATTGGCATTTTGACAAATCTCAGCTGTTAAGATATTTTTTAGTGGTAGAATCAAGACGTGGAGGGGATAGATTTATTCCCCTAAAACCGCCTAAATTTTGGGAAAGGAGTATTAATCAAAAGCCTGCTGATTTAAAAATGTATTACATTTTCGATGACTCAAAACTGGACCCAGCTGTTCTTGATTATTAAGTTTTTAATAAATGGTCCTGGACGGAGCAACAACAGATTTGATCTAAGTGATAATGATGCGACCCTCTTGGCGAAGCGTGAAGTTCTGGGCTAGATCGTCCAGGTTAGACGATTATGAAATTATGAATATTACGATTATGAATATACATAAAAGTAGTTTTATTGTTTTACAATTTTACACTTTTGCTGACAGTGAATTTTTTTTCCCTTCCAGTGGGTTCCCAGCGGCTCCACTTTTCTGCCAGCCATGGTCAACTCCTTCATACATGTTCTCATGTACTCCTACTACGGCCTTGCTGCTCTGGGGCCGAGAATAGCTCCGTTCCTTTGGTGGAAGAAATACCTGACAATACTGCAACTGGTGCGTTTTATTTTGCTTGTTTGCATTAGCTTTTACCAAGCTTACCTTGATCGTTGGATTTATAATCAGTGATTATTTTAGCCAAAGAAGCAGATGGTCTAAGCGATCACACAATTCTTTCAACTCTCATCTACACCTTTGCACCCTGATGGGGTTTTTTACTATCTATCTTTTTAATAGTTTGGCATCCTCTTTCAATCTTGCATTTACCTGTCTAAATTGGCCTCAAAAGTCCTTGCGAGGAACGTATCCAGCAAAGCAAGGGTATGAAATATGATAATGAACTTCCTGATCATGACTTTAATGGCGCAATCTTAGATAACACTTTCGGCAATCGTAAGAATAAAATCAGCTCTCACACTCTTCTATGTTCCAAAAACTGAAATTAAAACTTTTTCCAGGTTCAATTCACCACTGCTTTGATTCTCGGCATAAACGGAATCAGATCAGGTTGTGATTTCCCGCTGTGGATGCAATATGCCCTTGTGGTGTACATGATGTCCTTCATTGTGCTGTTTGGGAACTTCTATGCGAAGGCGTATATGGAAAAGGTAAGTTGGTCATAGGGAAGTAAGGTACAGAGGAAAGTGGTGCCAAGCACTAGTGCTGGTGACTAGAGTAAAGTCCAATACTGCTCCCATCGCTCTCATATACTCAACGCTCACGGTGGAGGAAGATCTTGTGCAATAAAAATTCCACAAAGTGTTTGCTGTTAGAGCTTCCTTGCTCGTCACAAGAATATTTCAGGCACAAACATACAAGTGTTGAAAGTGCGCTGTCTCATAGGTTTCCTCTGTATATGACTTTTATGTGGGTAAAGTAAGTGGATAACCACACTTTTAGCTTTTCCTAAGCCTTTTATGAGATAGGCACGTGAACGTAGGTTATTAACCTTAAACCCTCTCACAGGAGTGATCTGGTCTAGTGGTAGAGCACGGGCCTTCCGTCCCAGAGGCCCTGCGTTCAAATCCCACCGATCACCAACAGATCTTAACTATGTGATAATTTTGCAATCCTCTTGTATAGCCTGAAGTAATGTGTAAAAAACAGCTCCAGACTGAAAACCTACAAAGAATGTGTATTCCTAAAATGGGAATAACATCAATAGCATTGGCATAGCTAAATTAACATTATTAGAGCGGTTGATATGTTTAAACATAAAAGTTTCATTTTTTTCAATGTTCAACAATGGTGTGAATTCCCGTCATCAGCACTCAATGTGTTAATGAATGATTCCTGCAGCTCAAAGAAATAAGGTGATCAAAAATGCTGAGAGTTTAAACTGCCATTTACGTTTCAGGGGAAAAGCAGAGGATACAGAAAACTCAGCCCAAAACACTGCGAGCCTATTCCGAGCACATCGACCACTTCTCACGTCAAATTCGAATAGACCAACGAGTTGTGAATTAACTGTGCCTTTGTCCATATCTAAATATTATTGGTCGAATAACTGTAGCGTAAGTCAAGTTCAATTTCAAAATTGTACAATAACACTAAGTCAATAATAGATGTAAGAAATCTTCCATAGTTAATAACTGCTACTCATTAAACATCTGTGTAATATAATGGTTACGAATTTAATTTGGTGTAGTTTGGAATTGAATTGAATTGTTATAGTTAACGTGTGTTCCTTGTAAATACAATGTACATAAATGTAAAAATTTATAAAATAAATGAAAGCATTGATGATATTGTTTTGTTTCTTAGTGTCATTGTAAAGTTTCTTTTTCTCCTATTTCTGAGTGGTTTAATCACGATTTATTTAAACAAAAAGAAGGATAAAATAGCGAACTTAAAACTAATAGCTTACCAAACAACGTTGCAAATGAAAAAAGTGAATATTTTCAGAAAACTCAAAACTGTTCTGGCTGTGTAAATGCCAAAACAGCCAGTTTTCCATGCATTTAATCCCTTGTAAGAGTGCTACCAACCTACATATTTTTAAACTGAAATATCCCACACAATTTAATGTCATTTGCATCTGCATCAGTTCTTAAAAAATATCAATTTCACAAAATATGTCGTTTACAGTGTTGTTTGGCGATGATATTCAACAAAAGGAAGTTTAAACACATTTTTATTTGAAACAATTTATTTTACAGATATAAATATTTGGCATTATACATATTATACAGTATTATACACATTTTACAGTTTTCGGACTGGCCTTAAGTACATTATACATGCACATTCGTAAACAAGGTTTAACACTTATGTCTTATTATTGATATGACAACACTAAAATATGTTACTGAATCTTAGCCACAGAGAAATACAGTAGAACCTTGATAACAAGACTCTGATGGGGATTACTAAATGAGACTTGTTATCAAGGTTAAATTGTTATTGAGGTTTGCAATACCATGTGATTTGGGGTAAAATAAATTCAAGGGGATTTGAAAATGACACTTGTTATCGAGGTTCTACTGTAATATGTAAACAGAGTAATCATTTGCGTGGTTTGTGTTTCTAAAAGAAAAATGTACATTTTTGCAATTTTTGATCAAATGTATACATTTGTAGCCAAGAGAGCACCTCTATATTTACTCCTTCTTTTCCCACTTTGTATTGTATGTGTGTGTTATACTCTGTACAATGGAACCTGTCTCCAGACCCTCTGTTAAGTTGGGGGCCGGCCAATTTTACGGTCTGGGTAGACAGGTTCCATGATACAGAGTATAGCTCATTACACGGAAGTTTTCATTGATACTTCTTTGTAAAAAATAAAAAATATAAGTAATGTTTTACAAAATATTTTAAGTATAAATTACCACAGTGTGGTAAAATAAATAAAGTAAATATGGAGCTTACAATTCAGAAAAATACACTTGAACTATTTAACACCAAACAAAGGTCTTAAAATAAATAATATTATTTTGAAACAGCTAGAATGCTTAAAAGGATTGCTAAGTCAAACAATCAAAAAATAATAAATAAAATAATCAATAAATAAGTTGGCCATAAAAAAGTTCTAATTTCTAAGATCATTAGATAAATTCCTCAAAGCTAAGTATTTTTCACTATAAATTCTATATTTGGTCTGGGTAAAAAATTAGTAACAAAAGCAAACAAATATTGGTGATCTATGACTTAAATATTTATGTAAATTATTACAAAATTAATAAATATAAAAATGCCAAATAATTTTAAATTTGTAGATTTTAATCAATATAAAAAAGACATAGAGTAATCACAAATCAATTATAAGAGATTTAAAGAATACACATTATGTTTAACATATTTTATATTTCAATACTAATACAACATCTGTATAGCAGAAAAGGACAGAGATAAAGTAAGGAAACTAAAATAAAATCTAAAATGTTAAAAACTAACAAACAATGACACAGATTAGAAGTTTTGACGTAGGAACTACGAACTAGGAAGTAATTTTAATAAGAATTATGTACAGTATAATTAAAATCAACTTTTGATCCTAAATCATAAAATGATACAATAAAAAAGCACTCAACAATGCTTACTGTATTTAGAAATAGTAAAGGATTAATAAAAGCCTAATGAAGTTGAAAAAAATGTAAATAGTATTTGGAACGAATAAAAATGGTAGTACACTACCTACTAAAATGACGGTTTACCATAAATAAAAATTTTCACATTTCCATCGAGTTCCCTTCGTGGTGGAGTAAGCTAGTTCAAATCCAACATAAGTATCATGTTCTTTGCTTCCCTCACTACTATTCAATCAGGCTCCCCAATGCGACCCTAATGCGATGGTTAGTATCATCGTGATAGCCGTTAACAATGAGGTAAAAAAAGTCAACGCTCCATGTAAGAATTACGATCATTGGTAACATTTTGGTGGTTAAAGAAGTCAACCCTTTTGAAATCCATCCCCAATTGATGGATCTCTCGGTGGTTTTAAAAGATCGCAGAATGTCTTACATTTGAACGACGAGATCGGGCGCGTTTCCGCCGTGACTGTAACAAAATTTTAAAAAGTTTTCTAGTGGATCCGCAAGTTAAAGATAAAAAGAGTTTTTTATTAGCAGTCTTAGATTTGTTATTATTCGCTAAACAAATTTACTTAAGTTTTTCTCGCTTTGGACATTGACCAAATGTGATTGACATTGTCCAAACACCTCCCCTCAATCTTACGCCAAAGAGAAGTAAGATACAGAGGATACAAGCTTATGGGACAACCGTGCACTTTACCGTGCACCCTGGTATGCTGGAGTGGAAATGTACTAGTATCGAGCAAAGAAGAGCCAGAACTGCAATGGCCACATAGCATATTTTGTACAGCAGTTGCTGCGCACAGGATCTTCCTAGCGCCTGAACGCTGTAGTATGTGATGGCAAGGGGGGAAAGGAGAGCAGAAGGGGACGACAAATAGAATTTGCTGTAGACACCAGCAACTGGTGCTAGACACCACTAAGTGTACCTTTGAATTTATCCTCTGTTTCTAACTTCTCTGTACATACAAACATTTTTTACATCCAAATATTTTTCGTAAATGTCATCTCTGCAAGATTTCAAAAGGAGTTGACCACTTAATCCTGTCACATTTTACACTTGGCGTTAGCGCCAATTTTCCCTGCTATGTTACAACCACGACAATACCAAGCATCGCATTATGGTGCAGCGGCCGTAATAGTTGTGGGGGAAGTATGGAACACATTAGCGTTATATTTAAACTAACACTCAAATGGTGGTGACGGAGCTTCTTGTAGATCTTTTGAAGACAACTCTTTTTAATAGACAATATGACAAATTGTAATGGAGTAGATGAATATTACAGGTATTTTACAGGTTTTGCATTTGTTTTTAGTTTTCAATCATGAGATTCTGAAAACAAGGAAGAAGAAAAACTGAAACTAGAATGCAATTTACCATGTAACTGACTATAGCTTGTATGATGGAACCTGTCTCCTGTTCCTCCGTCGACCTGGAACTGAGCCATTGGCTAGTCCCCAGGTAGACGGAGGGCCAGAAGACAGGTTACATCATACAGACTATAATGGTATGACAATTACTTCTGCAAACTAAATACAAACAAAATACATAATTCGATCTTCAAATCGGTTGGGAAAGATAGGATTTGTTTCATTATATCTTTTTTTGGTAAAAACTGGAAATCCATTTATATTTCAAAAATTTAGGACATAATTTATGAAGGTTTCGTTAAAGAAAATTGTGGTGATATTGATCATATCTGGTTAGAACAGAAATGATAAATACCAGCACTAATTTCCTATACTAAACAATGAGGAATCATAATAACATATAACAGACATTACTATTGAAACAAAAATTAAAAACAAAAATTAACAATTTTTGTTTGGGTTTTAAGTTGGAGCTTTAAGATATTTTTAAGTTCTGCAGTAGTTTCAGTGTGTTTACCAGACAAGTTCACTTACACAACAATTCACCTTTCAAGATAAAAATATTAAAAAATACTTTTAATTTTTTTAAATAGTTTTTTTACAAAAATACTGCTAAACAGGAAATTTAAGATGAAATCCAGTTCAATAGTATGGTTTTTGATCACCTTGAATCCAACAGATATGCATGCATGTTGAAGTTAAAATAAGCCTACAGCTAATCAGAGATCAAATTAACTTTAAAATCAACAAACATTAAAATATGTAACACTTGAAACTAATTTCATAATGATAAATTCAGCGTTCACAAAGGATAGACTAAGAAGAAAGCGAGCATCGGTGTCAATTACATGTGTGACAATCGTAGAAATATTTGGATGAAATGAAATGAAAATGAAATGAAAAAGAAACGACTCGAGTTACGGAGGTGTCAGATCGTCAAAGAGTCGTAACGGGTGAACGACTCGACCAAGGTGACTGTAACTGGAGTCCGTCACACGTAGCTCTCCTGACGAGACGAGTAGAGGAAGAACGAGTCGAGTAGTCGCGGCTCTACGAGCTCTCGAGCGTTCAACTGATCCACAACCTCTAGTCCACAGTTTGCGACAATCTTACGAAGAGCCGCCTGTAGGATACAGTATTTCATTAAGAAAAGGAAATATAGTTATCACACTATGAAAAATATACTATATCAATATACACTTCAACAAAATAACTCTTATTTTTGCTTTCTCCCCCTAAACGTAGTATATACGTAGTATACAAAAGTGTTTTTCAAACCTTTTCAGTTTAAGATTCGTGTGGTAATATCCATTATTGGGTCACAAGAGTATTCGTAAATTTAAATCAAGCATGCAATTTCTATTTTAAGTGTGTTTTGGTTTATTGGTTTTCCGACAATTTTTCCGCTCCTCTGAATATTGAATATATCTTGATTCGACCACAGCATCCAACAAAGCGGTTCCTTTGTCTTATAAAATACAGATTTTAATGTCAAAGATGTAAAATTCTTAATTTTGATCAACCTACTTTTAACCTTTTTTACAGCATGGCACATTTTAACCTCAACATCATAATTTTGTGGATAAGAAACAGAGATAACTGCTATGTTATCAAAGAGTTCTGAACTAGGTGCTTTGCTAAAGGAGCTGTAACTGTATAACATGATTGATTTTCTTTGAGCAAAGCTCAGCACTCACCAGACAAGCAACCAAGACTCCGTCACTGTGGTTGCGTTCTCTCTCTTCCTTACACAACCGGACCAGACGGTTGATACCTTGCAGGTCTACTACTTGAGCAGCCACACTGGGATCGCTACATAACCTGTGAAAACGAGAAACGGCTTGAAATACAAAGTCGTTATAATGCTCAATACAATCATAAGGTCGCCAGTATGATTTCGAAAAACAGTAACATTTTGGTTTGAAACTGGTCCCAGTCCTTCATCACTAGGATAATAGAAACAGCTGATCTTAGTCAGTAATAAAGCTGCACAAGATATTTCTGCCCTGTCATCTCAATGATGACGGAGGGTGAGGAAAATTGGATTAATTTGTCAAGTCCAGAATATTCTCCACACCAAGAAGCCTTCAGGATAAAAGAAAGAAAGAAATAACTCAGGTAAAAGAACTTGATGCCAGAAACAGTATGAGCCTTAAGAGATTAGGTCACACGTTGGCCTGACCTGTAGAAACGTGACAGTCTTAAGTCTCTATCCAACAGAGAAGAGTTTTTTTTAGTGAGTGTTCTGATCAATTCAGAAGTCCCACAGTACAGGCTGGCAAGGAGCGTAAATGCATTTTCCCTCTTCTAACTCAGAAATAAAATAATCTTACTCCATTTTACATTTACTCTGCATTCAGCTTATTTACCTGTAGTAGTGATGATGCACGGCCAAGTAACGTAGCAAGAAGGGTTATAACAGCGGTTTTGTCTGGAAGCAGCTAATGGTATTTGTGTATTTACGAAAGCTTGGTTACTGGATTATGAAAATATTGACTCCGCTTTAAATGTACCGATATAGATTTTCAATTCATATTGTTTTGGTTTTCAATTCTGTATGTTTCAATATTTTAATAAATTTATTTTCATAAATTTAAATTTAAATCAATAAAGTGCAAATTGATGAGCTGATGTCACCTGTCTGCAATGTTATCTTATGAGACGTCTGACACTAAACAACCCTACTTGCGACGTTGCCAATTCTACCAGGCCGCGGCCTGGAGTTAAAGATGGCCGTGGCTGAGGTCATACGTAATGATAATAATAGTTTACACAACTGTTTCTCCAAAATATTTCAACAATTTTAAGTGGCGCTTTGCTATCACAAAGTTTTTTATAAGAGTTGGTCTCTATAAACCTTGTATTTGCCCGTCCCATTGGCTATGGAGCTGCGTGGAATGTATCCAACAACAAGAGGTAAACTGGTACAGTTCAAAGGTGAAGTTTACTAATAACAAGTGGCAGATACCAGGATTCGAACCTTCAACATCGCTGTTTTGGGTCCGAATTCCATAGCACTATCGCCTAAACCACTGCCTCACCTAAAGCTTGACTCAAAGTTATTCCAATTTAAGAAAAAGTCTTTAAAACTAGATTTCCACCCTCCGACTCTAATTATAAAACCTTGACATCTATCTAGGCTACATTCTATGGCGACACTTACCTTGACAGTGCAATAGCAGACTTATGCTGTAGTCTCTCAGCGGCTGCGATCTCTGGTGCTCGTTGGAGAGGACAGTGGCGCACCTGGAGGAAACACAGCAACGCTACAACCGCGCGGTGCTCGGCTAGGTGCGGCCTCACCTCCGGCACAGCGGCCATGTTGGCTAACAGTCCTGCTACCTGTTCCTGAACATCACAGAAGGTTGGTAAAGAATCAGTAGCCAGAGATATTGTCATAGGAAAACGTGAGATGAAGTTGTAAAACTAATTATCGACTAAAACTAAAGGATGGCCTCTTTTAAGCTTGAATATTTCAACTCATATGGTCCTAAGGAACGTATCAAATAAAGTAAGGGATGAGAAGGTAAATTATAAGTTTTCATTGGCACACAATTTGACATTACAACCTAAGTTTCACTTTTTTCGTACTAAAACTTACCAAAAAGGTAAATAGAATATTCAATTCAATTCAATTCAATTCAAACTTCTTTATTCATTATTTTGTACAATATATACATCGAATAGTGTCAGGTTGTACAACAACTCAAACTAGCCTAAGTGACAATCTCATCCACTCTATGCAGGAGACTGAAAAAGTGTTTATATATTCATTATGACTGTGATGGGTGGAAAAAATCTTCAAAAGAATACGGAGCTATTTTAATCAGATATTCTTTTAATCTTCTTTTAAATTTGTTTCTATTACTTTCTTTTTTAATTTCTTTTGGAATTGTATTTAAATATCTTTGACCGATGTAGGAAGGTTTCTTTTCAAAAAATTTTGTTTGATGTTTATATGTTATTATGGAGTCTTTATGTCGAGTATTGTATTTATGAAGGGTTGAAATATAATCTGAAGGACGAGAATCAGCTTTCTTAATTGCCATTAAAATGCAGTCAAAAATATACTGTCCGTAGACTGTCAAAATATTGAGTTCAACAAAGTGTTTTTTCACAGAGGCATCACGCTGTAGTTTTAGCATTATTCTAATTGCATATTCTTGTTTTTTTAATATATTTTCAAGATTAATTTTTGAAGTTGCTCCAAATAAACAAATCCCAAAAGCAATATGGGAATGTATGTATGCAAAATAGATTTTACGCATTGTTTCAATATTACAATAAAAGGACATTTTCCTCAAAGCAAATATTCCAGAACTAATTTTTGGTAAAATTTTGTCCACATGGTTATTCCAATCTAAATGCTGATCAATAGTTAAGCCAAGAAACTGAGCATTTGGTTTTGTTATAATTTGCTGAGAATTCAAATCTATCACTGGTTTTCTCTTATTTCTGTTTTGTTTTGTTTTAAAATTAATACAATTAGTTTTTCCTACATTCAAAAATAAATTATGATCCTTGAGAAATTTATTGATGTTTTCTAATTCTAGTTTACAATTTACTTCAGTTTCTTCCAAAGTCTCTGATGATAATTTCAAGTTTGAATCATCGGCATATAAAATTAATTTTGAATTAGGTTGGAATAATAAGGCATTTTCAATGTTTTTCATATAACATAAAAATAACAGAGGACCTAATATTGAACCTTGTGGGACGCCAAATTTAACAGGGCGAGTTTCTGAAGATATACTAATAAGTTTATTTGAGTTTGATAGAAACGTTACTTCGACATACTGACTGCGGTCACAAAGATATGACTGAAACCAATTTAGAGAATTTTTCGATATTCCTAAAGATTGTAATTTTTGTAATAAAATTGAGTGCTTTACACTGTCAAAGGCTTTAGACAAGTCCAAAAAAATGCCAGTTGTAAATTTTCCTTGGTCAACAGACTCAATTACAGATTCCACAAATGAGACTGCGGCACTAACAACTGATCTACCAGATCTAAAGCCGTGTTGAATATCATCCAATAAATTGTATTTTTCTAAATAATTACTTAACTGGATTGAAGCTATTTTTTCAAAAACTTTAGATAAAGATGGAAGCAGAGATATTGGACGATAGTTGTTTACATCTGAAGCATCACCTTTTTTTGGTACCGGGATAATTTTAGATTTTTTAAATTTAGTTGGATATGAACCAGTGATAAATGAAGAATTGATCAGATGACTTAGAATTTTACTGATATCCCTTTTCACTTCCTTCAACACAGTTACTGGGACCTCATCATACCCACTCGACTTCGTACTTTTCAATGAGGTAATGATTTTTTCCACCTCATCACTGTTTACAGTAGTAAAACAGAACATAGGTTTAAGTAGTCTATCTGCTATACTTTGACATTTCGAGTTATTTTGAATATTCAAAGCATTAACATTTGGATTACTGTCTTTAACTATACTAGAAAAATAGTCATTAAAATAATTAGACACAATTTTTGGATTTGATACTTTCTTTCCTTCAATATTTAACTGAACATTATTGACTCTGTTTCTGGGCTTATCCCCGATCTCTGAGTTAATCAGACCCCACACAGTTTTTTGTACATTATTTGAGTTATTAATTTTCTTCTCAAAATGTTCCCTTTTTGATTTTACTAACATATGCTTGAGGTTACATTTCAATTTTTTACATAATTTTGATAACTTAGAGTTCCTAGTTCTTCTAATTTCTCTTGTTAATTGAACAATTTGATTATTTGTTATATTTATTCATTCTTAATTGATAAGCCAGGTACTTCTTTTAAATGTTTTGAGACTTTGTATTGAGTTAACAGATCAATGTACTAGTTTTTAAATTCAAAATCTGAAATGTAAACTTACCTGAAGAAAGACGGAAGCGTGAGGACCCTGTCTCCTGACTGCTAGCAGCAAAGTCCCAGCAGTCTTACAGTCTAGCAGCCTCCAGACACACTGTGGCTCCAGCAAGCTGAGATGACACAAGGCAGCAGCTGATAGCAGCAACAATACGCTGCTGGTAGTGTTGTTGACTAGTCCTGTCAAACGGGTAGATTAGAAAAATGTACAATCACAGATCATTGAGGGATAATTCTTAACTTTAAGACATCAAAAATGTGAAGCTATATATTTGTCTGTTTAGCTGCAAAACACAGAGAAGTAACATCCAGAGAATACATGTTTGTGGGACAACCATGCACTTTTAGCTCTGGTATGGTGGGGTGGAAATGTACTTGACCCAAGGAAGAAGCCACTAATACCCTATTTGTTTATTTGTACTCATCAAATCTATTCATTAACAAAGTTAATAGGAAAAAAAAGCAAACATGACCATGACTAAAATTATAATATCTACCACTTACTGGTAAGTGCTGCGACCAATGCTGTGAGTTGCTCTGTGAGGCCTTGTACAGTGTGGTTGTCCTCCACCCACGGTGCCGTGACCTGCGCCAGCACAGACACTGCCTCTGTGACCTCCGCCTCCCCACGGCGCTCATCTGACAACATGTCTGTCACTATCTCTACACCTCCACCCTGCAACATACAACACTGTGAGGCCTTGTACAGTGTGGTTGTCCTCCACCCATGGTGCCGTGACCTGCGCCAGCACAGACACTGCCTCTGTGACCTCCGCCTCCCCACGGCGCTCATCTGACAACATGTCTGTCACTATCTCTACACCTTCACCCTGCAACATACAACACTGTGAGGCCTTGTACAGTGTGGTTGTCCTCCACCCAGGGTGCCGTGACCTGTGCCAGTACAGACACTGCCTCTGTGACCTCCGCCTCCCCACGGCGCTCATCTGACAACATGTCTGTCACTATCTCTACACCTCCACCCTGCAACATACAACACTGTGAGGCCTTGTACAGTGTGGTTGTCCTCCACCCAGGGTGCCGTGACCTGCGCCAGTACAGACACTGCCTCTGTGACCTCCGCCTCCCCACGGCGCTCATCTGACAACATGTCTGTCACTATCTCTACACCTCCACCCTGAAACATACATCAATTTGAGGCCTTGTACAGTGTGGTTGTCCTCCACCCAGGGTGCCGTGACCTGCGCCAGTACAGACACTGCCTCTGTGACCTCCGACTCCCCACGGCGCTCATCTGACAACATGTCTGTCACTATCTCTACACCTCCACCCTGCAACATACAACACTGTGAGGCCTTGTACAGTGTGGTTGTCCTCCACCCAGGGTGCCATGACCTGTGCCAGCACAGACACTGCCTCTGTGACCTCCGCCTCCCCACGGCGCTCATCTGACAACATGTCTGTCACTATCTCTACACCTCCACCCTGCAACATACAACACTGTGAGGCCTTGTACAGTGTGGTTGTCCTCCACCCAGGGTGCCGTGACCTGCGCCAGTACAGACACGGCCTCCATGATCTCCGCCTCCCCACGGCGCTCATCTGACAACATGTCTGTCACTATCTCTACACCTCCACCCTGCAATAATACAACATGTATGTATAAGCGCAGCAAGCCTGTGAACTTGAGAACATCATGAAGGGTGATTATCAATCACCATTTAGTCTAGTGTGATGATAAAAAAAGTTAAATAAAATCAAACAAAGAAAATATCAAATTACCTGTTCAAATTGCCTGATGGTCGCCGATGAACAACACACCGTGGCCAGGATACGTAGAGAGGCCGTTCTCACGGAGGCTGACTTGGAGTCCAGACAGAGGCCGAGGAGAGCTCGGATACCACAACAGCGAGACATGAGGTCGCCCAAGTGGCCAGGTTCCAGGCCGAGTCCTGAGAATGCCGACAGAGCCGAGAGCAAAGCCAGGTTAGACGACGGCTCCTCTAGCACTGCCACCAGTAACTATGGGGAAATAAGTGTGTTACAATCATCATTGATAACATGGGATTGTACTTGTTCTCCAACAACTCAAATTTTGTGCTACACTAGTATAATTAATACATTCTTGATATGTTCTACCTCATACCTTGTCCCAGGAACATGCAAGGTATGAAAAATTAATTATGTGCCTAGTCAGTGACGGTTCCAAGGGGGGCGGGGGTACAGCGGCTAATGTTAACTTATTGTACCATAGAAAACAAAATTTAAACATACATTTTGTCCTAAATTCATAATGGAGGATTTGGGTATACTTATTTAGACGTTAAAACTGACTTATGAAAGTCACCAAATATCGAAAATAGTACCAAATTTTCTAGGGAGGTCCCTGAACCCCCGTCTATTCTTACGAGGTGTAGGAAGCCCCCCATTTGACAAGGTTATAGGACCGCCACTAGTAGAAGCTAAGTATTGGAATTGGAGTCAAGCAAGTGAATAGGATGTTAATAACACCTTCAACTTCGTTAAATAGTTAGTTGCAATTAAGGTAGTTTTTGAGCCATAAAACATTTACTGAAACTTTTTTTGCTAGTTTTGGACCTATTCAACTTGAACTAAGTGCCAATTAGTGTTTTATTCAATATCCTTTGTTTTCTAAAATAACATGAGATGAGAATAAAGCTTAATTTGACGTATCAAACCACATACGAGTTAACGTGTCCCTCACCTTAATCTGCTGAGCTAGTAGATGGTCCATGACGCTAGTGAATGCTCGGCCCAGCCTGGTGACACTCTCCACCAACTGTTGTTGCTGCAGAGTCTTGGCAGATGACGCAGTACGCAGCAGCTCTCCTGCAGCCACCAACTGACCGCAGCACTCGCTGCTACTACTTGGCAGCTCCACGACTGCTAGCAGCTCTGTCATGTGACCCAGCAGACTCTGCACTAATGGACCTACATGCTCCAACTGTTCTTGTTCTACCCTCCTGCAACAAACGGACATGTTAAATTATGCTGAAACACTCCTTAAAAACGTACAAACAAATGTAATCAGTGTTTCTGCTAAAACAAAAATCCCACCAACCAGGTCGCAAAAATCCTATTTTATCACATATGATTTTTTCTAAACTTGATGTCCTACCCCAAGTGATCTGTTGAAGTTTGCTGAAATAGCTGTTAAAGTATTGATGTACTAATATGCAAAAATAATTTAAATAGGGTTGATTTTTATCTGAATAACATGAAAAAAGAAAATCTGACACCAGAACCTAAAATCCTTCTCTCTCTTCCATCCACTTTATCTATCTAATGGTGCAAAAATCCCTTTTGGGATGAAGAATCCAGTGTATAAAATATTCTTACAATAATACCTAGCTTACTCCCTGTATGGGAAATTCGCTGATAGCAAAACTTTAAAAGAAAACAAGATTTCTATTTGAAAACAAACACTATTACCAGTCTGCAACACTAAATATCTGTTACAAATAAGCTTAAATTACCAAATGTGTCACATTAATAGGCGGTTTGGGAGCTCGGTCTAGCACTTAACAGCTTAACAAGTTCTAACTATGGCCTCGTTTTATCATGATTACTGGTTTAGTGATCTACTTATACATGACTCATTCATTGAATATAAACAAATGATGACAAACTGTGACATCCACTGATCAAAACAGGTTTTAATACAACTTTGTAACCTACTTAAATACTACAGTAGATAACGAGAAAATCAATTGCTTCTTTAATTTCCAGAATACTTAAAAAAACTGAAAAAAACATTAATGGACCTATATGCCTGCCAAGAAGAGTGCCACAAAGAATTTCAGGATATTAAGATATTCTTCTCTATGTAATCTAAAAAAATAAATAATTACGGTCTATTTCCAACAATGAAATTACATAAATTAATCAATCAAACAAAATTATTAAAACTGCTGAGAATATAGTAAAGCAGTGTAGGGTATCTTGAACAATAACCTCTGAGTCATCATGTTAAGCTTTTAAAAACATGATTTGCTTTATTGTGACCAATGAAGAATTTTGCATGTAACTTTAAGTTGGATTTAACATTTGAACTAACACTAAAAGATACATTAGAATGGTAGGGAAGTAATAGAAGCAAAGTAGTTATAGTATAATTCTACCGCTACTTCCTGAAGAAGCCCCCTTTTAGTTGTGAATTAATTCTTTCGTGACCATTTTGTATTTTCAACTGCCTAAAATTTTCTTAGATAATTTTTTTCATATTGTTGAATAGAAGAAGTGGACGGCCTCTTTTACCTTGCATTTGCCTGTCCAAATGGGTCACGGAGTTCTGTGCCTGGAACGTCTTCAGGAAAGCAAGAGGTGAGTCTGTACAGTACAAGGGTGAACTGTACTGATAAAAAGTAGTGGCAGGTACCAGGATTGGAACTCGGAACCTATGACATCCCTGCCTTGGGCCCGAAGTCCAGAAGTCCGTGATTTTACCAACTGAGCCACTGACTCACTTAGTTAATTAAGTAGGTACCCATTCCTTCTTAATGTGTTCCTAAAGTAGGGACCACGTAAGTTTGCAGTTGGTGGCAGCCAATCACAAGACGAGGCTAGTGCGATGTTGCCACATCGCCCGTTAACAACACTAATTAAAATATACTAAGTAATATTTTCAAATCAGCTGGTATTATTAGACTTGGCAACACCGCACGGTTCTCATTAGTTCATTCAAAACCATATGGTAAATAGGCTCCTCCCTCAACTGCAAACTTACGTGGTCCGACTGTAAGTGTTTTTCCAAACTAATTCTGTAATAGACAATTTTCTCAAGTATTTATTCCCCCACTAACCTGTACAGTTTGGTAAACTCGTGTGATATAGTCCGTGTCCGTTGTTGTAATGTTCGCACAGCCTCTGTCGTAGTGGCTGCCATGAGGGTCACTTGTCTGCTCAGATCAGCAGTGAGGGATTTACTTTGCAGCGTAGTGGTACACTCTGGCTCGCACAACAATCGCAGCTCTCGACACCATTGTTGTACTGGCGGGGGAGGAAATTCCGTAGCCGGAGGCGGTGCAATGCTGGAAGTAACATACAAATTATAGCATCATAGATTTAGAGAGTAGGTATTGTTTTTGCAAAAATTTTCGAGTTTCAAGGTGAAAATATACATTTTGGGTCCCCCTGAATCCAAAAAGTGATGGTTTTCAAAGTGATGTCTGTGTGTGTATAAAATTACGCTTTTCCGTGTGGGAAAGTCACGGAGTTGTATGTGTGGATATTTACAAAGCTTAAACCATACTTAATTGTGTTCCCGTTTTGATGATATTTGGTGTGTGGGTACTAATCCATGGTACCTCCAAGCGTTTTAATTTATTTTATTGAAGTTTTGTATTTAATGGTGATTTTTCTCCAAAAAAACAAGAGGAAAATCTCATTTAAAAACATTTTGATTAAAATTCAGTATGTTATGGCCTTTATGATTCAAAACAAAACTGTACAACCCCCAATGTTGTAAACACTACAATTCAAAAGTTATCGCAACTTCACAGCAATGAAATATCAAATACTGGTTTTACTGGAAATTTAGTGCACAACAATTACAAAATGAAATCCGAAGAAAGAACACAAGTTTCTAGAACGTCAGAAAACTCGACTCAGCAACTGTGTTCTCAGAGATGCTGTTCTAGAATGCTGATGCTGTGATCCGCTGATACGAGATCCAATGACATCAGACATCATGTTCAGCGTACCAGAACTGTCTGCGGCTCGTGTTACATCGGTGACATTGTGACGGCTTAACACTCCTCACCCGGATCAACTTTATAAGCGATCTCAGCAATAGCGTTGATAAAGTCTTTTTCCAAAAATGATGAATTAAAATTTGATGCTGTTTTGCTTTTGTTTATTTATTGGTATTTTTCTATAGGCAATCACAATTTTAAATGTTTTTTGTGAGGGAATCCCTGGTCTTGTTACTACAGTATCTAAAGTCTACCTTTTGATGGATAGTTTTATAGAGATTCTTCAATTATGATTTAAGATAAGTCGGCTAAAGTCTTGGATATATGTGAATAATTGATGCTTAAAGGTAGACGTTAGCACGTTAGTTGCTAATACAAGACCAAGGTTTGAACCGTTCCCTTTAAAAAAACTTTAAAAAAACTGGTGGGGAAAGGACAAACTTCCTTTATTTGATAAGAAAAGAAGTGTTTTCATTTCCTAATTTTTTACATTTGATTGCACTATGGGACTTGTTGAATTACTTTTAGTACCTGTTATTTCAAAATGTAAAATTGAAGAAATAATTTTAATAGTTAAATAGACTATTTTGATTGTTTGTTTGATAGATTCTGAAGTTTTAACATTAAAGTTATGGCTATGGATTAAGGCTGTAACATATAACACAAGGGCTTAGGTTTCAAGGATCATTGGTTGTAGCAGACTACATGGATGGGAAATAATCCAAACTGGTACAAGAAACACAGCAAACATTACTATAAACAACAATTAGAATATTTCTGTGTCACTAATAGCATTTTCAATAAGTTGAACCAGTTGAAAAATGCTGTCAGTGACAATAAAATTTTGTGATTGTGTTAATTTAATGTTTCTTTTGCTAGAGTGGAGTTTGGTCCCATTCGGGTACAATCCTGACATCCTGAAAAATATTTACTGTTTAATTTTTTTTTATATTGTTAAATACCGGTACTCTTTCTATGAAAGAATTCAAGTTTAAAATGCCTTTCTTTCTATACCCATACAGACGCAATAAAACCAATGAGTAACATATACGCTATGTACATAAGTTCTAAAAATCCGTATCAAAATTGTAATACCTAACTCGTACATAAGAGAATAACTTTAAAACTTCGTACCTTTCAAAGTTCTTGTTCAAGTTGACGGGCCTTCTGGTGACTCTGGACCCCCGAGGCTGAACTCTACTGGAGGGAACAGTCTTCGGAGTTGAGCAGTGTACAGGAGCACCTAGGGTTCCGGAGACGTCCAACTCTGAACCCCAAGACGCAACCTTAGTTGACGTAGGCGTCTTCAGGAACCGAGTAGGACTTAAACACTTGGGAGAACACGGTCTAGAAGTTATCGGACTGGGAGGCACAACTTGAGCGGGATTCAACCACTTGGACTTTGGAATAAACACAGCAGTTTGATTTTCCGTAGAATCACTACTTTCCGACGACGTGTCTTGAGGAACTTCAGAATCATTTTTCACATCACTTTGCTCATCATCACTCTCGATCACGAATGAAGTCCTTGCTTCTTCAGCACCTAAAAGATCGCTTACACAGTCGCTTTGGTTGAACCGATCGTTTGTTTTAACACAGTCCTCTGCGCTCCAGGTTTTGTTGAGGCATTTGTCTAACGTGAGAGTAGTTTTGTATCTTGAGAGACACACTCGAGGTATTCTCGCTGTTGGTGTTTCAGGAAGTTGAGGAATTGGTGAAGATTTTTCTTCTTCGAGATCCTCGGAAGGTTTCGGGTTGGGAGGTGAGTTTTCGGAGTCAGAGAACCCGGAGTCCTGACTCTTGTGGCTGCCATTGCTGGGGCTGCCTCTGTCCGGACTCAACGGGACTCCGGGACCCCATCCCGGCAACACTGAGGGGGACATCTCCTCCTCTTCATCCTCAGGGAAGTGCGACCACCAAACCTTGCTGCGGCTGCGGCGAAACTCTCCCATAGCATCTGAGGACAGATAAACATTCACTTTAAATACAAAAATCAGACTGGCTTACATACAAATTCACTTCATAAATTTACTTTTAATCCTGTCATCGAGGATCTACAACAAAATTGTACAGAAGAATGAAAATGTGTTGGTCAAAATTATCCACTTAACAACAACTCAGTACCAAAAAGATTTTAATATTGTTTTACACTTGCTTAAGAACAATCTTGCGTGTTTTTGATAGATTGGTTACCAAATATTTCCTGAGAAGAAGAACAATTTTTAATAAACTGTAACAACAGTTAGCTAAATTATTGTTTTCAATAATTTGGTAAATGTAAAATTACGTACAAATTACTCTCAAAAGGCAAAATTTATACTTGTTATCAAGGTTACACACTGATTAAGGATGACATCAGTTCCAATGTAATAGTAAAGTCATAGGGGTCCTCATATAGTAACAATGGTCTAATAGTTAAGTTAATAAAATATTCAAGGTTCTTTTATATATCTACAAACCTACTAATTCATCACTAAACTAATCAGTGCAAAATTAAGAGTTTTACTATCTGTACCGTTAACAATAATTTTTAATTATGTCCAAACATTAATTTTAAACGTTAATTTCGTTGTCAACAGACACAGGATTAAAACTGAGAAAAATTAAAGCTTTTACAACTACATAGCTCCTTATATAAAATGACACTGAAGAAGACACTGAATATGCGAGGATATTTCTACAGATTTTGGTTGACGGTGATTTGGTACGCAACTCATATAGGTGACAGGACATTGACTGTGCGAGATTCCCACGACAATAGACACGGCCTGGACGACGGCCAGCGATACAGTGACGAAACGTCAAACGTCGTCATGGCAACACACGCGTGTGGAATGCGCTAAAAAACTAGAAAATTCTAAAATCAAACAAAACTGAGATATAAGCTGATCATAACTGCCTCTAATACAAGGCCGCGGCGAGACAAAAGTGGCAACGTCGCAGTTCAGGCCTACGGAAACAGCTGATACACTAATTCATAACGAAGCGTCTGCGCAATGTTTATGATTACATTCCTGTCTATCCTGGCGATAGACGGTGCGACGTTGCCACACCATACCGCGGCCTTGTATAAGAGGAAGCTATGCTGATGGTATATTTATCCAGAAGGTTAAAAATATTTCTTCCAAGCCAGGAGATATTTTCGGATTATTTAAAAAATAAAGACTTCAGTTGGAAGCTTTATTTTAATATTTTGCAGCGAGTTTCATTATATATTGTCTGAAAGGAAATTGCAACCTCTATTTGCAACTCGAATTCTATATACCTATAAAAATTATTATTAGACCTATAGTTTGTGAATGGTGTTGTACTCCACAAATTTAATTTAAGCTTATTTACTGAGGACCTGTGTAATTCTAACTTAAATGCAGTACGGTAAATGAGGAATGAAAAGTCCTTTCTTAATTATTTTGGTGGGGAAACGTCATGTCAAACTCTATCCAACGACTCTAAACTGGTTGAAACTCCCTTTAAAGTAATCCCATAAATCCAGTATAGATGAGTAACATGTTTAGGAAGACTTTTTAACACTTCAACTTTATTACGCGTTTATTCTTTCAACCGTAAATTTACTGAAATGTGCGCGCATTGAGATGTCCACGGTGGTCTAGCTAATTAAAGAAGATGTAGTGAGAAGAAGAAGAACGCAGCAATAAACAGCTGAGAGGTTCATGCGCAGCACGTACTTCACACACGTTACCGACGACGCGGTGGTTTCCACTGATGAAGGCGGGAAACGCTGATGAAACGTCGCAGTAGGTGTTGTAGAAATAACATCAGATATTGTAGCCTGGCACTGGTCCTGGGTTTTTGGAATTGTCCTTGTAACGTGAAAACTGCCAAAATGTAAGTTTGGTGACCAAGTTGAAAATTGAATTTCAATCCACGTAGAGAAACTTATACAGTATCTGCCAATGTATATCAAAACTTAAAATTTTACCAATTATTAGGCACTTTGAATATAGGCAACGCATTCCAGTTTAAAGGCTCAGATAAACACAGATGTCGTAGAAAAAAAAATCCTTTACCCTAAAAAAATTGTGGACAAAATTTAAGGAAGTTAACCCAGGGCCTTTAAGGATGAAGTTTTTTTTTTACTTAAGATCATAAAAAATATAGCTGGATTTTTTAACTAGAAGCGTTTAAGTGAGTTAAAAACGAACGGAATGTATGGTGGACCATCTTGGAAAATGAACTTCTTTCATTGCAATGTGGTGATTGTGTCTCTTTGTAAAATGTATTGTATACAAATAAATAAACAAATGTTCAGTGTGTAAAAATTAAGTATTGTGAGGGCCGCTTTCCCCAAATCAAGTTTAACTTAATCTCGGTTAACTTTAATCGGTGGGTTAAACTTAGGATGGCTTTCCCCACTATTTTGTCATGAAAGTTTAGTTTAACCTAGCTTTTCTTTGCAAGCAACAATGTTGGCAACACTGGTATGCAATTTTGTCTGCAATATTAGCCGTTTAACTCCCCACTATGACTTATCTGTCATTAATTTTCTCGTGTTTTGGTTATTTGTATTAGGTTTCGTGTCATTGTCTCCAATTGTTGACATTAAAAATAAACATTTTTATTTGCAGGCTTATAAATTGTACTGATGCTAATTTATAAGCATTTCATTTATTGTGTTTATTTAAGCCTCAAACTTAATTAAACAGTAGGCCTATTGTACGCATCAAATAAAAGCATTTACAATCATGGGAAAATAAAATGTTGGGAAAGACGCAAAATTAATGTTTGTGGATTAAAAACTAGAGCCTATCCTTTGTAATGGCAGGCCTAGGCTACTCAGCATTAGACACGTTCGATGTTTCTAAACTAAATTTAATTTTAGGCGTACTGCAGTAGTTGTTAATTTACACATGATAATAATAGCAAATAGACTAGTGGTTAGGCCCGAATGTTTAATATTTACTTTTGTGTAATGTAAGACTCGTGTTAAAATAAAATCAAACCAAAAGGCTTCTTATGAGCAAACTTTCCAACCACTGTTGCGTTGCTGTGGACAAGGTAACCTATCGATTGTACACAACTACGATACTACCTACCGAAAATATAATAATTTAGGCCTACCCTACGCATTTAAAAACCTTAAAACCATTACTGTATATCTGTAGCCTTATATCTTTAAATTTGAAATAGTCATGAATTAATTGTCTACATAGGTTCTGGTTTGATATTTCTTAATTTATTTCCAGTTCAATTTATTTTAGGTTATGTTTAACAAATGTCAAAAAGGATATTTGCCATTGCCGTCTGCCGAACGTAACAAGTCAGCCAAGAGCCAATCAAAATCAAGCTATTATTCTTCTCTCCTGGGTTAACCCACGGATCGCCAGTTAAACCAGCCTCACCCCTAGGGTTAACTTAAACCTAGTTTAAACGGAGAAATTATTTTGGGGAAAGTGAATCTGAGGTTAAACTAGAGTTTAAACCGCGATCAGAGTTAAACTTGATTTGGGGAAAGCGGCCCTCATAGCTTCCTCTACAAGGCCGCGGCGTTGTGGCAACGTCGCACCGGCCTGTTGCCATGGTAATGAATGTCGAACGTGTGAACATAAACAAGCACAGACGCTCCGAATTAGCGAAACAGCTGTTCCAGTAGGCCGAAACTGCTACGTTGCCACTTTTGGTCTTGTATTAGAGGTTATGTTAAAGTACGTGTTCATATGCAAGAATGTTGCTGAACTTCCAAGTGTACTTAACGCCTTCACTTATTGTTTACAAGCGGATTTATGGCAATTCACCAGCGTTTTCCATTAGCTTATCTACAGGGTGTTGAAGAACATTGTCTGTTGTAATTTAACACGTACTATTAAATAAACGTTAAGTTACTTTCCATTGTTCACTTGTAAAATAAAATAGTTTGAACACGGTTTTGTGGTTTTACTGTTATTTCATTACTTTCACTACCTACATTGTTTTATTTCAATTTTCAATGTCATTTGTTGTAGTCTTAAGTGGAATTTGTTTTTCAATCTCTCGCAAAATAATATATTCATTTCGTAAGGAAACGATGTACTTTATTATGATTTTAATGCAATGCAAATGCAGTTATATAACCCTCTGGAGCTCACTATCTTTAATGTTGTGTCATTAACTATTTTTTCATATTATGAGATATTGCTAACCGATTATTGCACTCTTATGTCAACGCATTGTCAAATTACAACAATAAGACGCTTATGAAACAGCTGATCATACACTCTATTATGACTGAAAGTGTTGATGACTGTTGTGATACGTAGATATTATTTTACAAACATGAGAATAATAACGTTTTACTTTTTTTCCTGGAGTTCAAGTGAAGGTTGATAAGTAGGCAACTAGGTATGATTGTTCCTTTTTTTAACATAGATGAATTTATTATGCATAGCAATTTTAATAATCGTTCATAGCTTCAGATCACAGCTGATTTCCTCGTCGCCAGCTGATTTACTGGACGCCAGCTGGTTCATTTTGGACACATGAATAAGAATAACTAACTGTATTAAGTTTTTTTAGCTCTCCAACGAAAAATAGTTGAATGCATACGTTTTCACTGCAGTACGACGAAAAATGTTATTGAGAACTCCTCCTGGCAGTGAAATCATTATTGCTTAACCCACAAATAGTTCTATCTTAGGAGGTGTATCGCTTAACTTTTTAAAATATTATTCTAAAAGAAAACCAATACACAGCTCACCATGGTAATCTTTACGTTGAGTTTTGTATCTGACAATTTCCATTCCACTCTAAGTCCAATCGGATAACTAAACCGTAGTAATTTTCCATTACTCACGACTAAGAACGTGGATTACTCACTACTCAAGGAAGAGTAATACGTAAGGTAAGACTCATCAGCGAGTAAGGCAATACTCTTTGTCACCGAAGGTCAGCGAGAAAGATCAAAGTGATTTCCCCGAAGACTGCTGATACCTATTGCGATGTGATGTTACTTGACTTGCGCAG